TATGTTGTTGCAAATTAATACCACAAAACCCCCCCCAAAGATGGGGGGGGGGGATGTGGGGGGTGAAAAATCAAACTTATATTACATGGCGAAGGGTGGGAAAACACTGCTCTATACCATCTGAGTGTTCATCCACATAGTCCAGGATTATTGTTTTGGATGGCAAAAGCTCTCCAGTGTTATAGAGGAGAATCCTTCTCGCCACCTTCTCCTCTCTGGCCCTTTTTATAAGGATAGCAGGGCTAAGCAATTACCAGTACACAACTGTTCCACCACAAACCCAAACATTCTTTTCTGCTGCTCCCATCGCCACCACCCTGCCTGTTACAGATACATCAGAATGGCAGCTAGAAGTCAATTCTACATACTCGCTCCCCTGTGAAGCCTGCTGAGTTGACAAGTGGCTCCACTTGGCTTGCCGTTCCATCTTGGCCTCGATCTCCCGCTTCTTCTGGGCAATAAGCTTCTCCTGATGGAGGATGTTCACGTTGGTCTTCACTGATTTGGGCATTGCAACTCCAAACCATCGGCTGGCTTTCCCTGTTCAGCAAGAAGAGGAGGCACAGAATCACTTTGCAAGACAAGGCTGGCAGTTAAGTGTTTGCTAGGACAAGATTGCAAAGGAAGAGAGATCCAAAATGACAAGTTTCCCTTTCCCTGTAAAAATGAAATAACTCAGCACAAGAATTAAACATTAATAGCCCTTTGGATTCTATCCCCAAAAGCTACTAGAGTGTGAATGTAGCATCTCCCCACTTTATGATGTAGCATCTGCCAATAATGTTCTAATATTTTTATTTTATATGCTGCTTTTTATTGGATTATGTTATTTTGTGCAGCAGTAACTTTAGCATTTTAATCTCTCTGCATCCAATCTTATATACTTACTACTGTAAACTGTCACTGAACTTAACTTGAAAGTCAGTCTGAAAATCCATCAGGTAAACCAGAAGTAACTGGACTTCAGGCTAATAAAATATATTTTGTGTCCTCTTTTCTAAAAATCTAAAAAACTGAGATCTGATCAGAGTGCTTTGCTAGAAATTTCTTCTGTGCTAAAAATGAACAAGTTCCCTATTCTTCATGGAAAAAAACCTGTTTCTGGTTATTGCACACTTTATTTCAGCAGTATAATGAAATGTGGGTGGAGCAGGATAGTGATGCCATGTTATTCTTATGATTGTTGAAAAATTGGATATTCAAGTTACCTGCTAATCTGTCACCAGTCAACCAAAGACCTTTCCATCAACTAAAGATTAGTATATTCTAATCTGTTCTTCGTTCACATGCAGTGTGCAGCAATCAATAAGCTGAAACGTTTTATATTATTTATGTAGTTAAGATTTTGTCCCTGAACAATCAGAACAGAAACGTAAATAATGTCAGAAGAAGACGACTCCCCAGCCCAGTGAAAGTCAACTTCCTAGCCAGTGACAACTGAGGAAAACAGTACTAATAGCAACAGCTGCCTAACTGCCTACTGCAAAAGTTTATGATCCCTCTTACAACATCTCTATGAGGTAGGTCGAACTGACAGTACATAAGTGGCCTGAAGTCACCAGGTGAATTTCTATAGCTGAGAATGAATTTGAACCTGCATCTCCACAGTCCTAATCGAACACATTTTGTTAGCTTTGAGCACTGCCAATATTGTCTCTGATGCTTGTCAGTATGATTTTATAGGCTGCTTAGAATCCATTGAAGGAGCACAATAATGGCAGTAAATAAAGAAATGTTAAATAAAACAAGACCACACAAAGATTTATAATGTATTAGATCAAGAAATATTTGGTTAATGTTCTATTCCAGGTGTGCCCAATTAGATACCATTACTGTATGCATCATTTGAGTATAAGAGCTGTATGGTTATCCATAACATCCATCACCTGATACATAACCATCATGTCCTCCCTTACTTTCTTTGCTGCCCCCTCCCCAGCCAAAACACTGTCATTGATTCACACAGTGAAGCTGTTCCAATCCATTGATCTTTTCTGCAGCTGTTCCAACCTTACAATAATACTCGGGCGACCAGCAAATTAGTAAGTACAAGAATGGCACGGCGAAAAACAACTGCACAGCAAAACACCCACAGGAAGACAAGACCCTTAAGACCTGTAGCCCAACACACCTGGAAAGCATCCAGCCGGGGATGATGGTCCCTCGCAGGCCAAAGGCCTACAAAGCCTAACAAGGAAACCACAACCCGACAAAGCGCGTTGGCTGTATGTATTTTAAAGGAGCGGGGCGGGAACGCTTCCCAGCGAGGCGGGGAAAGGCGGGAAGGGTCGCTCCGCCTGAGGGGCGAGACTCACCTGGCGCATCTCTGCTGTTCTCCATGGCTGCCAGGCTGCCCCCTACCGCTTCTCCCACAATGCACTGCGCGCGTCTACTCACCCGGATGGATTGGGAAGCAGGGCGGTGCGATGCATTGTGGGGGCGGAGCAGACTCAGGACTGCCCACAGAAAAGGATGCCGGGAATTGTAGTACACAGACCTGCGCAGGCCGGAAAAGGATTTCCCGGGCGAGTTTTAGGGTCTGGGAGACTCTGGTGTTCCTGTCATACCCAAGTTTCGACTTTGCTTTGTCCACTGGGACAAAAAGGTAAGAGCACTACCATTCCCGTCAGACGCCGCGCGGAACCGGAAAGAGGAGGAGGTAAAGACGTTCTCACGAGACTTGGTAACTGGTCGCAAAACTTCCCCTTGGCTATTCAGGTCTTGACCACCGGGGAACTATATTTCCCATGATGCAAAGGGAAGGGGGTTAAAGGCCACTATTATTAAAGATTGTTACATTTTTATTTTGAAATGTGTACCCCTCTTTTCAGGTGACTGCTTTCGAAATGACTGCTATGATCATAAATGTCACTCCTTAATCTTAAATAGGAATTAAAGATTATGGTTATAATCCAGGACTTTAATATAATGCAAGCATTATAAAGTGAATAAGCGAAAGATCTCTTCATTGCTTCCTACAGATCTAAAAATAAGCTATGCACTTTTTTTAATTAAATCTTAGATCTGCAACACACTCTTGGAAATAAGGCCCCGTGAAGCGGATGGGGGTGGACACGCATCCCACGGCAGTGCAAGGCTTACTTTTGTTTTGATTTGAGGCACATTATTTTTTCTACGAAAGAGCAGACAAAGGAGATCTAGAAAGGGGAGGGTGAGATTAAACCTCGCGAGAGGAGGACCCGTTTCCTGCCCCTGGAGGGAGGAGGCGGGAGAGGTTCCCCCCCCCGAGGGCGGGATTCTTTGTCTCTAACTCACCCTCTCCACGCGGGGGGCAATAATCCATCCGTGGGCCGCGGCCGCTTCCAGGACTCGCTTTCCCACCAAGCTTTGCGGCGCCTGCGCCTGCGCCGTGAGTCCCTCAATTCCGCCGCGCAGCGACCCCCCGTTGCCTCCCGGTCCTTTCGGAGGCCAAGCCAAGATGGCCGCCGTCGGGGCGTCGGGCGGCTCGACGACGTCCGCGGGCA